ATTAACATAAAAGCTACCCAAGACAAACACTGATCTGCTTTTTGTCGCTATAGCTTAGTTTCAATTTTCTAGAATTTTACGTACTCTTTTTTGGTCTGGCTTCTTTCACATAGCTTAATTATTTTGAAATCCATCCATGTTGTCATGTGTATCAACAGTTCATTACTTTTTATTGCTGACTGGTATTCCATTGTATGGTTACACCACAATTTGTTTATCCATTCACCTGCTGATGGGCATTTCAGTTGTTTCCAGTCTGGGCCTAAATAAAGTTGCTGTGAACATTCATGTCTTTGTATGGATATTGTGGTTAGCTGCTGTCAGCCTGACTCTTGGCAACCCCATGCACAATGGGATTGGACCACTGTGATCCGCAGTATTTTCATTAGCTGATTTTTCAGAAGTAGATGATCGCCAGGCCTTTCTTCCTAGTCTTAGTCTGGAAGCTCCACTGAAACCTATTCAGCATCACAGCAACACACAAGCCTCCCGACAGACTGGTGGTGGCAGCTGCGCTTAAGGTTCACTGGCCAGGAATCGAACCAGGCATGGAAGGCAAAAATTCTACCACTGAACCACCATTGCCCCCTTTGTATGAATATGGGTGTCATCTATTCTAACGGCTTTAATATACACCAAAAGTCCTAAATCTGCTTTGCCAGATACCAACCAGTTGCAAGTTGCAAGCTGGATAACCCAAAAGGACTTTGAAATCTACATGTCCAAAACTCACCTTACTATACTCCTTTCTCCAACTGCTTCTCCTCCAGCATTCTCTATCCAGATTAAATGCACTCAAACCAGAAACTCAGACTTTTCCTGCTCCCTCACCACTCTCCCCAATCACTTGGTGAGTTACTAAAAAACCAAACCAAATCCATTGCCATAGCCAATTCTGACTCATAGTGACCTGAAAGGACAGAGTATAACTGCCCCACAGGGTTTCCAAGGCTATAAATCTTTATGGAAGCAGACTGCCACATCTTTTTCCCATGGAGCAGCTGGTGAGTTCAAACCAACAATCTTACAGTTAGCAGCCGAGTGCTTTAATCACTGCATGTCAATTCTGCCCTTCAAACATCTCTCAAATAAAATCCATCCCCACAATTCCATCCAAATGGATCCTTAGTTCAAATACATGTCATCTCTTGGCTGAACTATTCAACTAGCCTTCTAACTTTTCTCTTACTTCAAGTCTCACATTCTTCTCCAATCCATTTTCCATTCTACGGTCAAAGTGAACTGTCTAAAATTCGAATCTGATGTTCATCTCCTATTTATAACTCCTCAATGGCTTCTTCTCCCAAGATAAAATTCAAACTCTTTAGCTTTACAAAAAAATTCTCTATAAACCAGCTACCTGAGACCAGATTCATCCTCTGACACTCCCTATCATGTTCTAATTCAAGCATTTTAGAATATGCCTTTTATCTTTTTATCCTTAGTGCTGAGGGTGATGCCTGACCTAAAGTAGTAATAGATAGTCATTAGGATCTATTTGTGTAATAGATAAGACAGGACTTAGACTGATAGATGCAGTAGGATGTTCTGGACATATTCAGGAAAAATAGTAGTCTATCCAGTCAGGCTAAAGCATAAAAATACAAACGATTATGGTAGGCAATTTAGTTAGAAAAGATAAAGGTAGATCACTGATCACTATCAACTCCATGCTAAAGACTGCATACTTCATTCTAGGCTCTCAAAAGATATCAACTATTCTGAACAAGGGCATGACATGTTCAGAAGTTTACTTCAACTTCTGAAATCTGCAAAATACACAAAGGAGACATGGGAGGGGGCAGTGAACTCAGTTAAGAGGCTATTGCAGTAGGCTGGGAAAGGGAACTCAATTAAAGCAATCGGAGTAGGAAGGAATAGACTCCAAGAACACGTCAAAGAGCAATGAATCTACAAGTTTTGCCTTAGTGTGGACAATAATGCAAAGACAGAAATCAGAGATGACTCCAAAGTTCTGAGCCAGTCAAATAAAATAATAAGGCCATTAGTTACCATCAGATCGATCCTAACTCATGGTGACCCCATGAGTAGAACTGTGCTCCATAGGGTTTTCAATGGCTGTGCACTTTCAAAGCAGATTGCCCGGCCCTTCTTCCAAGGAGCCTCTGGGTGGATTTGAACCACCAACCTTTCAGTTAGTAGCCAAGCGCTTCACCAGTTGTGCCACCCAGGGACTCCATAAATCAAGAAGAAATACTAGAAAATGGAAGGTGGAAGGAAGAGAGGTGATAGTTTTAGTTTGGGAAATACTGTGTTTAAGGGACGTGAAAGAAATATATGTATTCCCATAATTCATTCAAATAATATGAGTGTCTACTAGGTGCCTGAATATGCATGGGAGATAAAATGAAAGTAAGACATCACCTGTGTTCTCAAGGAGCACCCAATCTAGTTGTGAAGCTGGGGGACACAGAGAAGTAAATGTTGTTGTTAGGTGTCCATCAAGTCAATTGGCTCACAGTGACCCCAACTGCCCCACAGGGTTTTCTAGGCTATAATCTTTACAGAAGTAGATCACCAGGTCTTTCTACCACAAAGCTGCCAACCTTTTGGTTAGCTGCAGAACCGCTGCACCACCAGGGCTCCTTAGACAAGTAAACAAGAACTTAAAATTCACTGTTAAGCGCTAGACTAGAGTGCTAAAAGAAAACAAAGGATGAATATCCAATTCAGCCCAGAAGATTTGAGAAAAGCTCTCACGTGGAGAGTGAGTCCAGAAGGAGTAGTGTTAGACGAAGCAAAGAAGGGCAGACCAGATCAAGGAAACAGCATGTCCAAAGAGCCTCAAGTCAGAGAATACAACAGTTGGACGCAAATAGTAAGTCTGATCAAAGAGTTCAAGATGTGGAGATACCCTGATGGAACGTCCAGCAGACAGGTGAAAATTCAGGTTTTGAGCTCCTAAGAGCACATCCAGATATGAAACATATTTCCAATCTTTTTTTAGGTGGCTTATAATTATCAATAATGAGTATATGAATGAGGATTGGAAGAACCTTACATATCAGCTAGATGTCCACACTTTCACCTTTACCTCCTCACCATCACATCTACTGCCATGAGAGGGTATCTCTCTGCTTAAAGTCAAATGCTGGTTTAAGCAAATAAGCAAACTGGACTAGTGGGGATTGTGGTAAATTGGAGATGCATGCCTTGCTCAAAGGGATCAGCCATTTACTTAGCTTCAGCCTTACTTGAATGTGGGCTCAATATAAAGAGATCTTCCTATTCTTCAACAAAAGTAGAAATTCAAGTTTTACCTAATATCTCATTTTTAAATGCTGGCAACAAATTACATTTAAAAATGACAAAACAACACTGTGCCAGCAAACAAAATGCTTCCGTGGACAGAATTTAGCAATGGCCACCAGTATGGTAGAGTTAGACCAGCTCTGCCAACTCATACACCACTCTTTCCACTACTTCATAGGACCCTCAACTGATAGTTTATCTTGGCAATTCCCTCAAATTAGGAGCTGATTGATTCTGAGCAAAATGGTCCCAAACTGATAATGTTTTAAGTTCTTTTGTATGTTTTCAGGCAATTTTTCTGTCTACCTCCCTGGCAGAATACCTGCTTCTAGCATCACTGAGACCTCCTACTCCCCTTCTACTACAAGCTAAGAAGCCAAGCTTGCAATTACAAGTAAAGCAAAAGTAAACAGATGGAGAGAAAGTCTGATGGGATTTCTAATGAATACAGTATGTTAGCTATATGTTGTCTCTTTGGTTTTCTCAGAAAACAACATGACAACAATATTTGTGACTAGTTAGACACTTGAAAAAAAAAGTAACTTAAATCTGAAATATATGAGGATATTCTGCTAACTAACTAGTTTCCACAGTAAGACACCAAAGGGGGGAGGGGAAGAACAGGGCAAAAGGGAAAGTAAAAGTTGCCAGCCTTTGACAAATAACAGACACCTTTTAAGAAACATTTTCAAAAGTATAAATGTTTAGCACAAAAAGTACACCATAATCTTCAATTCTCAGTAGGAGCAAAAATATATTTTAACAAGATAGCATGAAATATTCTTCGAGCAACAAGAAATCAGGATTCAGGAACACTATTAAAACAGTAAAGCAATCTCTATACTTACAGAAAAAAGTAAATGAAAAGAAGGAAAGAAAAAAAAAAATACTCTGGCGGTTGTTTTTAAAGTCATTCAAATACACCCGTTTCTGATGTTTTGAGGCGTTTATTAAGTCACAACGTTGCTTTTAGAAGCTATTAAAATGTAGCAACATTTCCTAATTATACTGAAACATTTAAAAGCACAGAACATGGGGTAGAACTTTAGATAACAATATGGCAAACCTGAAAAAACATACAAAGGTTAAAAATGTAATCAACAAACCAAATGACAGTACCAAAATTAAGATTTTCAGACTCTTAGAAAACAACAACAAAAACCCTGAAAATAGTGGCATTTGCACCCACTCCTGTTATTCAGACGAGTGGAGGAACTTGGGCGAATGGGGAGTGATTACTGAGGTCGAGCAGAGCAGGCCGTGTTCGTGCTGCTACGGACAGGCGAGCTCTGCAATTACTTAGGGCAAGCATTATGGCCAGAGCACTCCTTGAGCCCACTAAAACGAGCAGACTGGACGCCTAAAACAGGAGGCTGACAGTAGCTCCTGGTAAGACGAAGAAGGCGGAAAAGTGGCCTGCTTTGACCTCCACTGAAAACCGGGGCTCCTCCAACTAGTGTCGCCGAATCAAGGGGCAGGACATTCCTCGCTCAGTGGTTGCATTATTCGGACAAACTCTCCCTGGCTTCCTGCGGCCTTCCCACACCCCGGGTAATGTCAACACCGAGACCCAGCCGAACGTGGGGGAACCTCTCAGTGTGCCGTCCTTTCCGAGAGGCAGTGAGACCGGGAAGAAAGACGGCCCTGCGCGCCCCGCCTCCCCAGCCCTTGCCCGGCGCCCTCGCCCGCCTTTGCAGCAGGGAAGCGGGATCCCGCGCGCTCCTCACCTTTTTCAGCGCTGGCACCAGCAGCCCCCGCCACTTGGGCGCGTTCTCTTCGCTGAAAAACTCGTACGGCAGCTGCTGCGCCTGCATGGTGCCCCCGGGGCGCCTCTGGGCGGGGAGGGGGCGGCGGCGGCCGCGCCGGGGAGCCGCG